TTCGAACAGAACAGTACAGTGACTGGTCTGGAGTCAGTCTATCTGGGTTCAAATCTCACCTCTGGCACCCCCATCTTGAGTGACTTTCAATCTCTCTAAACCTTACTTTCCAAAAAAAACATTGATTCCATAGCCTTGGAATGAGGATTAAAGGAGATGCTTTTGTGTCAAGTACCTAGACACTCCAAGAGGATGGCCGCCCCACAAAATACAAAATGTATAACGTGGAACCAACAAACTGGTAAATACCGGTGACCTGGGGCCGGGGGGGCAGGGTCATAAGAACGAGCAGCTGTAAAACTTCTCTGTAATGGCTCACTCACCACCTGACTTGGACTCTTTGGTCTGCTTTGATTTAGGTAAACATGTTTGTGATGGCGATGGTCAAGACGTTTGCAATTTTCTTTGTGGTTTTCCAAGAAGAATTTGAAAGCACCTCAGAGCAAACTGGTTGGATTGGATCCATCATGTCATCACTTCGTTTTTCTGCAGGTATAAAGCTGGCAATAAGCTTGCTGTCTAAGGAAAAGCACCACAAAGGGCAATCCCAAGAAGATTCATCTGTCAGTCATTTAAGACTGAAGCGTTGCTAAAACTCAGATTCATTAATAGGTAAAGCTGAGAAAAGTTAGACTTGAAGTGTTTAGCCTCTACTTGATTTGACAAAATCAGAAGAAATAGGGTTCAAAAAGAGCTTAAGAATCCAACTATTTAAGTCCATGATTCAATTTCTCACACCTTGTTTCTTTCACAGTGCCTGAACACGGGTTCAGTGAGCCAGTCTCTCTGGGAAATCAGACCACAAGGTTCTTAAGCCCAACATCTAAGCATATTCAAAACAACACAGAAAACCAATTCCTCTTCCTTTGCTTCTATTTGGGGCTAAAACATGATAGGGTAGATTAATGATCAAACTTTGTTCTAGTCAAAGGTAACTAGGTGCAATCTCATTTTGTGGGTTTTTTTTTTTTTTTTAAGGTTTTACTTATTTAAGTAATCTGTACACCAACGTGGGGCTCGAACTCATGACCCTGAGATTGAGTCACGGGTTTTTCTGACTGAGCCAGCCAGGCGCCCCTCGTTTTGTGGTTTTATCAAAACTGCTTATTTACAATCCTCTTTAAAACAAACAACTCTTTTTCCAAAAAGCACAATAGTGTGGGCCTGGGAATATTATGAAACCCAATACAGACACCTTTCTAAAGGCTATACAATATTCCAAAGTCAAGTCCTCTTGTTTTCCTTCAGTTGCTCATTTAAATTGCACATCAGAAGATAAGAAATGCCAGAGCGTATTTACCTGTACTTGCCTTTCTTCCTTTTTCTGAGGTCCCCTGGTTGCCATTACTTGTGACATAATTGGAGAGAAGACTGCCTCCATTCTTGGGGTTTTCCTTGTTACTGGTGGATATCTGATCAGCAGCTGGGCTACTAACATTCCCTTTCTTTGTGTGACTATGGGACTTTTACCTGGTGAGTTCACGATAAAAATAAGACTGTAAAAGATGGAACTAGGAACCTTCCCTTTTACTGTCTTGTCCATGGGCCCAAAAGGCCTACTTAAGTTATCTCAGTTCCAGGAGAATATCTCATCTGGTACCAAGCCACTTCATGTGATTCCAAGCTACTGTTTTTCTTTTTAGGTTTGGGTTCTGCTTTCTTGTACCAAGCAGCTGCTGTGGTAACTATCAAATACTTCGAGAAACGATTAGCTCTTTCTACAGCTATTGCCCGTTCTGGGATGGGACTGACGTTTCTAATAGCACCTTTCACAAAAGTCCTGATAGATCTATATGACTGGACAGGTAAGTCATTCTGTGTCTGAACCATCAACTCCACAAGGTATGTTCAGCTCTTTCCCTCTAATGAGTGGAAGTGAAGACTTTTTGAGCCAAGGAAGAAATAAGCAGGATTTCTAAAGTAGCATAAACCTGTGCCTCCCCTTCCCTGGAGAACACAGCAGAAGGCATGTTGAACTACTTGCAGGCTTCGCCACGGACCACCCCAGCAACTCAGACTTCACACGGTTCAGGTCTGAGGGGATGGAGGCCACTCTGTGAAGCTGGCAGAACACCTTGCAGGGAAAGTGATACTCCTGGGGACACACGGATTCCCTCCTCCTCTTCTACTGCTAAAGCACTCACTTTTCAAATATTCTCTTAAGAAAAAATTCCACATTAAAAAATACCTCATCCATCTGACTCACTAAAATAGACCGAGAAAAAGAAGGGCGTAAACAGAGCATTATGTTCCTAAATCTTTTATATACCATCAGCTATAAATTTTTCAGAAATGAAAACCATTCACTCCACGATTTTCTTTGTGCCTGACCTAAAACATTCGGATTAAAATAATCTTAAATTACTGGAAAAATATATGTATATGTACATGTACATATATAGGAATATATACAAACCTGTTTCTACCTACAGAGCCTTACAGTTGATGCTTTCCTTTCCCAAGTGAAAAACTACCAGTGGTTTCATGGTAAACAGAACCAGCTGGCAAATCCGTAAGACAGGACAGCAGAATCTACAGCCAATTCCATCTCTGAAAGCACCACACACAACCCACAGCTTTGGTCAGACCACGCTGAAACCAAGCAACTACTCAGCTTCCAAGGCAAGACTGGCATCTGTCTTCTTTCAAGGAAATTAAAAATGGCATGAGATGAAAGGCTGGCCCCTCTCCTAAGGCAGTTTCCGAATGACTCTCATCATCTAACTCTAGAATTCTGTATTTTCTATCCTTAAATCTATATCCTCACTTCAGGATATCTTAAATCCCTATTTAAAACACACCGTAATTTTCTAACACTTCAAATATCCACCCCCCCACGCTCCCCCAAAAAACTATTCTTTCTTCCTCTCGCACAAATAACACTCTCTCCTTCCACATCATCTCCTGGTGCAGCTTTCTGGTTTTCTATTTTCAAAGGACGCCCTGTTTTCACAAGGATACAGTGGTGTGTAGGGCTAAAAATGAAGTCAACAGATTTAGATACTTCAGTTAAATTTAGGGGACAAAGTAGTGTTTTCAGGAATCACTGCACTGTGACTGAATATATTTGTGGTGGGGCCCCTTCTGAGCCTAAGAACACAGAGTATTGTCAAATGAGAGGGGCCATTTTTAACCTAACTTCTCACTTTCTCTCCCCCATTTAGGTGCTCTTATACTACTTGCAGGGATCACACTGAATTTGGTGCCTTCCAGTATGCTCCTAAGACCCATCCATATAAAAAGCAAGAACAATTCTGATATTAAAAATAAAGGCAGCAGCTTAGCTGCAAGTAATCCAGGGGCAGTGGGTGCGACAGAAACGTCATCCTGCAATGAGACACAAGAAGCCACCATCAGGGACAGTGCTCTGCAAAAGGCCGGACAACCTGGTACAAGTTTAACAGTCTCACAAAACAGAGAGTTCAACAACGAGCCTAACAGGGACAGTTATGAGAAAGAGGCTATTTCATGGAGCTATAAACAAAAACTCTGTGACCTCTCCCTTTTAAAAAATCCTTTCTTCTACATATTTACCTGGTCTTTTCTCCTCAGTCAGTTGGCATATTTCATCCCTACTTTTCACCTGGTGGCCAGAGCCAGAACACTGGGGATTGACATCATGGATGCCTCCTTCCTCGTTTCTGTAGCTGGTAAGAAAGTGCACTTTGACTTCAAGCTCAAAAGGAAAAATGAATTTTACAAAAATTTATTCGATTTTACAAAAAACTAAAGAAAAACAATTTTTTAAAAAAAGGAGTTATGGGAGGGCCAGGAAAAAGGAAGTCTTTTTTTTTTTTTTTTTTTTAATTCTTATGTTAATCCCCATACATAAAAGGAAGTCTTTTGAGGCTGGTAGGAGCACCAGGCTTGTCCCTCCACAGATCTCTGTCACTGCACCTTGCACACAGGAGCTCTATACCAGACAATGGCCCCTAAGCAAGTCTTGTTCATTTTCATGTCCATGTCTGACACAGTACACATTAAGTATTTATTGCATAAATACTTGATTTTAAAAAGTAGGCAACAGCCACCTCCAGGAAGCAGGAAAAGCATAGGCAGACAGCACAGAGCTAGATTGGTTCTAGAGCTTAGACTTCCTGGGTTCACATTTTGTTCTGTATTTCCTAGCTGTAGGACCTTGGGCAAGTTACTCATGTTCTCTGTGCCTCAATTTCCTCATCTGTAATACAGGGATAATAGTACCTATCCTCAAAAGGTTATCAGGATTAAATGAGCAATGCATGTAGAGTTTAGAATAGTGCCTGGCCCATCATAAGCATTCAGTAATGTTCTATTAGTATGGGTAGCTAAGAATTTTTCCCCTTGCACTCATAGTAAGACAGATAAATATGCCCGTTAAGGTCATTCACTAATGGACTGGGCATCATTTTTTTTTTTTAATTAGAATACTAAGTTAAAAATGAAAACTATCATTTTAGTTGAGTATTTATAAAAATGTAAGGGAGCAAAATGCTTAATTCAAAAGAGATGGATTCTCTCAATGGACAAAATAGGTAGCCTAAAAAAGTGAATTGACATGGAACGGGACTATTCTAAATATGTGGAAATTCTATGTAGCTTGATGTTAACTTTTCTCTCCCTAATTTCTTGAAAAGACTGCTTACACAGTCCTTACAAAACTGACTATACGCCATTCCAACTGCAAAGACACACTTCAGTCAACTAAAGCTTGTGTACACAAGAAATACATAGCTAAACTGTTTTTTTTATTAAAATGTCCGGTAGTCATCAATTTAGATCAGATTAGGCTATGCAATGGGACCAAAGAACGTAACAAAAAGTTTCCATATGTATCCTAGGAAGTAACTGTAAAAAGAGAAATAGTAGTATGCATTTTCTGTCCCCCACCCTTTTTTGTGAAGCAATTTAGGAAGAATTTACAGTACAAAGCAACTGTAGCTCCTGCTACTCTTGGTGAAAATGTTCTATTATTTAACTGCTACATTAGTTTATAATCGATAAAAAATAAGAATATCCTGTTATCATGAAAGAAAAATATGATTCTCAAATTTTATTCAAGTTTACAACATAGCTCCAATGTTCAAAATGATCACACATTTCCAGATTTCCCACTTATTTCCAAAAAAAAAGCAAAACAAAACAGATTTCCTATTTCCAAGCATAATAACCTTGAGGGGAGCACTTAATTACCAAAACCTCAGGTACAACCATAAGAAAGAGTCCCAACATCTATTTTTATTTTCAACGTAAGACTTTATTATTTATAATGTCCAGTCTTCCACCATCTGACTCCCCAGCACACTGCCCAGAGGGTCTACCAGTCTTTTAGAACTCTCTCCCCCTCCCCTGCAGGACCTCTCTGAGGAAGGCTTCCTGAGCGCTGGGGCCTCTGTAACCAGGGATTCCCAGTTAGGTAGAACAAGCTTTCCAAACCCGATGAGGAAAAAAAAACAAAAAAAACACCTGAGGGGGTCTTCTACCCAACTCTGGAGGAGTCTTTTTCGGCATTGTATTAGATGTATTTGGAGTAGGTAAATAAATGATTGAATCTGATGACAGACAGATGAGACCATTTTTTGCTCATATGTCCTCACCTCAGGAAGAAGCTGTATTACTCAGGAGAAGAGGTCTTATGCAGTTACACTTTCCAAAGGGGCTAGGGAAACGGAATTCGGATTTCATAAGGTCTTCTCAATCTTGTTCCAGGTATCACTGAGGCAGTCAGTCAGATCATCTCTGGATGGGTTGCTGATCAAAACTGGATCAAGAAGTATCATTACCACAAGTCTTACCTCATCCTCTGCGGCATCACTAACCTCCTTGCTCCTCTGGCAACCACATTTCCATTACTTATGACCTATACCATCTTCTTTGCCATTTTCGCTGGTGGTTACCTGGCAATGATACTTCCTGTACTGGTGAGTAGACATACTCATTAACACTGTAGACCATTTAGAAAAAAGCACGTATTAATAATAACCTCCCCAAAGAGACTACATATTTTGTGTTAATTTTATAATTTAAAAAAAAAACCATATGCAAGGCCTCCGAAACCCTGTAGCTGTATCCTGTCCAGTTTTCATCTTACCCTTGGGGGAGGAATGGTGAGAGAACATATATGAGACAAAAAAGAAATGAAAGCAAAAAGGGGATCAGTAGGATTTCACTTTCTCAGTCCCCCAAAAGGTTAGGTTTGTGTTTACTTGTTTCCTTCAGCTCCAGAAATTTCTTTGGCTCCTTCTAAGACACCATCTTGAGGAGTTCCTTGAGAGAAAAAGTGACTTCCTGACCAGTGTGGCTTCTCTCTTGTTGAGAGTAGTTCTATGTACTTTAATAGGGACATTGTTCATTTCCTCTCTACTTTTACCCCAAATTGACTGGGCCCAAAGGAATGGAAATACTTACACAAATATTTCATGGATTCTTCTGGCCTGATATCAATATTCGCGTAAGGGCTGTAGGATATTATATGAAGCTTATGTAAAAACCAAACTTTCTAAAGCTGAAATCAACCTGGAAAAACTGACTTCTTACAACCAATAGCTGGTATTTAGCCATAGGTGGATTTGAGAATACCACTGTCAGCTCAGAATGTAAATACCATTTCCTAATAGAGAAGAGCCGTGAGGATCAGGGAAGAAAGGTACCCCTGAGTTGTCTCAAAGATTTAAAATAAGAAGCCTCATAGTTCCTTACTAATAAAATGAGAACACTGCCTGCCTGGCATAATAACTCTTCCTTGTTTGCCTCAGCTCTTGTAGAATATCAAGGCAAAAGGCCAACCAAATCGCCTCAAGTCAATCGTTCATAGTATTTATCTCTGCATGCACAGGTCTCTACAGAGTTTCACCTTCAATATGGCTAACACTGGATTCTAATCCCTACAGGTTGATCTGTCTGGGAATTCTAGAGTACACAGGTTCTTGGGACTTGCCGGTTTCTTTGCTGGGATGGCTGTCCTTTCTGGACCACCTATAGCAGGTAACAGCTTAGCCATATTTTGAGCAAACTTCAATAGCTAAAAGAAAATGCTGATCCATTACGAATGGTAACATGCAATGACAGTATCAGGTTAAAAGCCTGATGAGATCTCTGCTGTTCCTACACTCACTTTCACATCCCATCACCAACCCAGGAGAATCTGAGAATTCACTCAACAGATAGTAAGAGGTTAATTAAGCAGCTTCTTACAGTATCTTGGGAGTCTCAGAGCAGGGATTGTGTGTATATCTACTTGCCTAGGGAGACAATCCAGCGTTTTAGAAGATTCTCAAAGATCGATGATGCCTTAAACAAACCAACCAACCACTAGCATCTTTTATCTGAGCAGGAGTCATTACAGAGCTTGAAGGCTGCCTGACCCTTCTGCTCTTCAGATGTGCTACTACACAGCTTGTCCAGGGCTTCCCAGCATCTCTGATTTTCCAAGAGGGATGATGGAGGCCCTTCATACTCTATCTGGTCCGAGGGTGGGAGGATACTTGGCCTACAGGCCAGAATCTCTGTGGAGAGGATGTGTGGGGCCCGCCAGTGGTGAATATTAAATACAAGCGCAGGAAAAATTGGGGGAGTTCTGATATTTAAGCTAGCTTTAAGACTAAAGCATTGTTTTGTATGCAGGTTTAACTTAAATGGACATTCCGTGCTTGCTGAACATTTAATCCAAGACTCTCAAAAGACTACTCACACAGAAACGTTTCGAGGGAACAGACTTAAACTTTAGTATTTTACATACTACAGGTTCTCAATGTTTAAATGTCTAAATTACTACAGCATTTCCAATCACCCACAAAAAGGTATTCAGCCTAAAACTTCCTTTTACTTCCTTCAGTCCTGAAGTGAAACAGAAAAAAATACAATCTTGCCTCACTATCTTTGTTTAAAAACTAAATGCTATTTAGGTTTGCACCTAAATGTAAGACCTAGAAAAGGCAAACAGCAAAAGGGAAAGTATAAAATTAATAACAAAAATTATTATTGAATGGAAAAAAACACACCATTATCTGATGTTCAATTTAGGTGTATCTCTTCTAAAGGAAAAGTTTATACAAATATACAACCAACTCCTACTTGTGTTTATGAGCCCACCTCTGCCCATGTGGTCTAGGTCAGCCTACACCTCACACCTGGAAAGCAGGCTCGAATTTTAAAGTCAGGCCCAGGACTGTGACGTAGGGGCTGGTAACAGGAGACTAACACCAGATGTGCTTAGCAGAGCAGCTCTATGGTTGGTGCCCAGGTCAGCGAGCTAGAAAAAACAGAACTCAAATATAGCTTGCCGATGCATTTTCTCAATCTTGATCCTTCTTCAATGGCCATTCCCGTGATGCCTTAAAACTTTCCAAGCCTATTAGGCCCAAAATATAGGGAGCTAACAAATACCAGGGCACAGAGTATCTTATTCAAAAGATAAAAACATGTAACATGTTTAGAGATTTCAAGTTTTCTATGTTTTTATATGTATCTTAAAATGTTTATTATTTTAAAAATTATTTATTTCAGAAAGAGAGAGAGAAAGCATGCACGAGTGGGGGCGGGAGGCGCAGAGGGAGAGGGAGAAGCAGGCTCCCCGCTGAGTGTGGAGCACTAAGCAGGGCTCGAACCCAGGACCCCGGATTCATGACCAGAGCCGAAGGCAGACGCTTAAACAGACTGAGCCATCCAGGCGCCCCTACATCTTAAAATGTTTAAAGAGTTCAATACATGAGAAGACAAGGCAAGTTTTGTGAGGACTATTACTCTAAAGGGAAGAACTAGAGATGTGTGTGTGGGTATTGAATCAATTTGTTGGGTCATGATCTTTTAAATTTTTTTAATGAAAAAGAACAGATGAGGGGTGCCTGGGTAGCTCAGTCGGCTGAGTGTCCAACTCTTGGTTTCAGCTCAGGTCATGATCTCAGGGTCCTGGGATCGAGCCCCGTGTCAGGCTCCGTGGTCAGCATGGAGTCTGCTTAAGTTTCTTTTTCCCTCTGTCCCTCCCCGCTGCGCTCGATCTCTCTCTCAAAAATAAATAAATAAATCTTATTAGGAAAAGAAAAATAGACTACAACAGAACAGATTAAAAAACACTGTGCATCACTTTATTTTAAATGTTTAGTTCACACACACACACACCTATGTCATATAAAATATATGTGATGTAAAACATATTTCTTATGGTTAATGAGTCAAAAAAATTTACAAGCCTTTTATTACCCAACGTCCACAATACCCTAGCACTATATGTGAGGATAAGGAGAGCTCATGAAAGAATTTTTACCCACCAATTCTGAAAATATTATCTAGGCAATCATAAATTTTATAAATTCTACAAAATAGTCAAAGGAAGTGATAAGGCTGTTGCTGATAGCTTATATATAGATTTTTAGTCTAGAAGTTGCTCACAGTATCTTAAACAAGATTAAAATAATACAAAATTCAGTTAAATTTCCTTCTCTATACCATGATCTCTCATTGACTGCAACGCTGTGCTAAGCATCTTGTTAAAGGGAGAAACTTCAGTAAAGTCCTTACTCATGTAAGCCATTCCTCTGTGAAACAACAAAGAGAATTTTACAAAGGCCATTAGATTTGTTCCTAACCTTTGACTCCAGCAGCAAGGACCAAAGAAACATCAAAGATGTTGATTTACAGATTCACTCAGCTCTCAACAGGTATGGGCAGTCACTTTATCATCTTCAGCTTTAACTAAATCAAAAGGCTTACTGGTTATAAAGTATTACAGTCTCAACCAAATTTAGATTTTCCGCATGTAGGAGATGCTCATTTTGTACTTACCTAGATCTGTTATCAAATTGCAGAAGTTGAAATTCCTACAAAACATTACAGGCATTTTTAAAATTAGGAATCTAACAAACAGTAAAATTTTTCACAATAACCCTCAGTTAACACTAGTTAAAAACTGTAACATTAATTAACAGTATTTTTCTCCTTCCTGTATGGAAATGAAAAAGAAAAACAAGTTAGTCCTATACAGCATGTTTTTTTTAAAGATTTCATTTATTTATCTGACAGAGAAACAGTGAGAGGGAACACAAGCAGGGGAGGTGGAGAAGCAGGCTTCCCGCCGAGCAGGGAGCCCGATGTGGGGCTCAATCCCAGGACCCTGGGACCATGACCTGAGCCGAAGGCAGACACTTAACAACTGAGCCACCGAGGCGCCCCCTATACAGCATATTTTAATAATTCGAGGGAAGAAAAAAAAAAGCATAAGATACCCAAAGGAATCATATGACTGAGTTTTTAAAAAATACTTTTCTTTTAAAAAATATAAATAGAGGGGTGCCTGGGTGGCTCAGTCATTAGGTGTCTGCCTTTGGCTCGGGTCACGGTCCCAGGGTCCTGGGATTGAGCCCCACATCGGGCTCCCTGCTGAGCAGGGAGCCTGCTTCTCCCTCTCCCACTCCCCCACTGCTTGTGTTCCCTCTCTCGCTGTGTCTCTCTCTGTCAAAAAGATAAATAAAATCTTTAAAAAAAAAAAAGTCAATACAACATATGGGCAAGAAAATTTATTTATAGACCTTCATTAACTCTGAATATGATAAGAAACATAGTAGCAACAAAATGTATCAGATCTCGAATGAAAATGACAGGGACTGAAATGGAAACAAGTGAAAAATTACTCCCCATACATACAGAGCTTCTTCCACCCCACAGCCCCTGCTATTCCTTTCTAACACTCCATGACAAATTCAGTGTTAGTTAATAATAGGATCTGCTTTAGATTAGGACAGTTTTTTAGGATTGTTCTAGGTTTCCTGACCTAGGGTGGTCAACAGACCTAAGTGTAGGCCAAATGTCACTGCTCATCCAAACCCAAGTGCTGTTTTTTGCTGGTGGATGGCATCCAGAGCTACAAATTGGCCCAGATGGAAGCCTTGGAAGGTTGTAGAAAAATAAAAAGTACGGGGGCGCCTGGGTGGCTCAGTCGTGAGGCGTCTGCCTTCAGCTCAGATCATGATCCCAGGGTCCTGGGATCGAGCCCCGCATCGGGCTCCCTGCTCGGCGGAAGCCTGCTTCTCCCTCTCCCACTCCCCCTGCTTGTGCTCCCTCTCTCGCTGTGTCTCTCTCTGTCAAATAAATAAATAAAATCTTAAGAAAGAAAAAGTACTGATATTTTAAAACCTTATTATGTTTCTATTTAATCTCTGTTAACAAAAATGAACCTGCAAAAAGCAATATAAATACAAAATTCATGCCTTAAGCAAACAAAGCATATAATCATACTCACCAACATATAAGTAGGAATGTGAAATTTCTAATCTTGTATCCAAGGCATTTGATATGTGAGCCCAAAAATGCTAAAGGCTCAGTTTCACTTAAAAATAAAACCACCAAGGTTTTATCAGCTGCCTATAAAATAAAACTGAATATGCAGTTCCCCTCTCTTCCACATACCCTACCCACTGCCAACTGATGAATGCCTATATTATGCGAATATATATATTTTATACATATTTAAACCAATCACAAATATCTGAAAACTCCGTTAAACCACCATCAATAATTATTTGATCATAACTCGGAATTCATTCAATAATTATCAAGCAACTTATTAGCATAGCACTCTCCTAGCTGTTACGGGGAACACAGAAAAGACAAAAGTTATTCTCTTATATTCTCTTACAGTTCTTCCATAGCACCTTGGGTCATGGCACAGCACTATCATGCACTGCCAGAAATTAATACCAAGGACAATAGTCTAGAACCTCTAAATTTAGATTAGAATGTACATTCTTTCTCTACTTCATTAATTGAAAATTTGGTTAAGTCACTATAACTTGGCTATTGTGAAAACTGGTTAACTCTGTTTTACCTTTATTTTTTTAAATTTAATTCAAATTCAATTAACATATAGTGTATTATTAGTTTCAGAGGTAGAGTTCAGTGATTCATCAGTTGTATATAACACCCAATGCTCATTACATCACATGCCCTCCTTAATGCCCACCACCCCTTTACCCCACCCCCCAATACCCTTCCCCCTCCAGCAACCCTCAGTTTGCTCCCTATGGTTAAGAGTCTCTTATGGTTTGTCTCCTTCTCTGATTTCATCTTATTTTATTTTCCCCCCTTCCCCTATGCTCCTCTGTTTTATTTCTTAAATCCCACATATGAGTGAAATCATATAATTGTCTTTCTCTGATTGACTAATTTCGCTAAACATAATACCCTCTAGTTCCATCTACGTTGTCACAAATGGTAAGATTTCATTTTTTTGATGGCTAAGTAATATTCCATTATACACACACACACACACACACATACATATTCTGCTTTACCTTTAAATGAAGACATCCTGAGCTGTGGTATAGTAAAAATGACCTTAAAAAAAAACTGAAGCTTCACTCAATCAAGTAGGGTATTTCACAAAAGTGATTTTTTTCGACAAACTCAAGAAAAGCCATTTCTAACGCTGAACAATCATAAGCTAGTTCTACTCCAGAGTAAGTTAAATAGTTCCTAAAGGAGAAGTACATCTCTCTCTTGCTATTATTTGTCAGCTTCACACCTCATCAGAAATACCATGGAGGGAAACTGGTAATTTTACACTAACTCTTCACCTGTGTTTTATAAGAGCAGACAATGGCTAAAATGGAAATTCATCCATCTAAGCTTGTCCCTGTCCCATTAATCCAGATAAGGTCATCTCCTCATGAAATGGTCACTCCCTCTCTCTATTCTATCCTCATTTCAGATACAACATGAAACAAATACCCCACCTGCTCCTCACTCCATCTTTTATCAACCATGCCCTCTACAATTTTATCATCTTGGCCAATCAGTTGAAAACTTCTCTATGACCTGAAATTTTATTTGGAAAACAAACCTTTTGATTTGCTATAAATCCACTTTGTAGGCTGGGGTAGGTGGAGAGAAGTAAGAAGGCAGAGCAGAGTTCTCTGTCCTCTAAATCCTGAGGAATATATTATACCCTAAAGAATCAAAAGAAAATAATGCAGATCATTAATTACTCTGTGATTATTTTCCCCATAAACAATAAAGCCCCAAAGAATTATAATTTTATTCAGTATTCCTAAGATTGATGAATCCCTATAAAAACATCAAAAATAAAATCGAAATAGCTCTCAACTGTGGTTAAAAAGAGGGTAGGGGTGGAATAGTCTTTTCTTCACAAAGCCAAAAAAAATCAAGCTTCAAAATCCTAACACAGAGCACAATCCTTTTTTTTTTTTTTTTTTTAAAGATTTTATTTATTTTTTGACAGAGAGAGAGACAGTGAGAGAGGGAACACAGCAGGGGGAGTGGGAGAGGGAGAAGCAGGCTTCCCGCGGAGCAGGGAGCCCGATGCGGGGCTTGATCCCAGGACCCTGGGATGACCTGAGCCAAAGGCAAACGCTTAATGACTGAGTCACCCAGGCGCCCCCAGAGCACAATCCTTTTAATGAAACTCATAGCATAAAGCAAATACTTAAAGCACTCGTGGTAAATCTTACTTACATAGCGACTTTAGAGAGCACCTGTCTTAAAAGGCAGTGAGGCTTGGGGCGCCTGGGTGGCTCAGTCGGTTGAGCAGCTGACTCCTGGTTTTGGCTTGGGTGGTGGGATCAAGCCCCGCATGGGGTTCTGCGCTCAGAATCTGCTTGTCCTTCTCCCTGCTCCTCCCCCTGCTCTCTAATAAATTTTTTTAAAAACCTAAAAAAAAAAAAAAAGGCAGTGAAGTTTAAATTTCCTAAACCATGTTTCCCAAGATTTTTCCCACTATAGCACATATAAAAAATGTTTATATAGCACGCCAGAAGTAAGATGAAAAGGCTGCTAATAGCCAGCCGGTGGCTCCAGTGACTCCAGGGATGACCAAAGATCATTGTCTCTGTACACCTTGGAAGTCTGCCCAACAGCTGGAAGTTCTGGTTCAACACCCGCTAGTCACGTACAGAATTTTCAACCACTAATTTGAACTAGCATCAAGGAACTTGGGAATTAATGGCCTTATGGGTATATTTCAAGTTTTAACAGGATGACCAATAATATACTTACAGTAGTAATCCTAATAAAAAGGATTCATGGGACACCTGGGTGGCTCAGTCAGTTAAGCATCCGACTCTTGATTTCGGCTCAGGTGATTATCTTGGTGTCACGGGATCAAACCCTGCGTCAGTCTTCATACTCAGCATGGAGTCCGCTTGAGTTTCTCTCCCTCTGGCCCTCCCCCTGCTCAAGTGCCCTCTCTCTTAAAATAAATAAATTAATTTAAAAAGAAAAAGGATTCATAACTCAGCTCAACAATCTAGTTCTGAGATATCAGGGGTACTATTTATTTATTAAGGATTTTTATTTATTTACTTGACACAGAGAGAGAGAGCAAACACAAGCAGGGGGAGCAGCAGGTAGATGGAGAGGGAGAAGCAGGCTCCCCGCTGAGCAGGGAGCCCGATGTGGGGGTCGATATCAGGACCCTGGGATCATGACCTGAGCTGATGGCAGATGCTTAACCAACTGAGCCACCCAGGTGCCCCAGAGGTACTTTTTAGATGTTACACTCATTTTTAAATATATATGGCTTTGCCCAAAAAATGATGCAGAAGAGTTTAGAAGTGTTGACATCTAAAAAAATTTAGAACCCTATATTAAATATCGAGTTTGATAGACTATAAAAAAACTCATTTGCGGGTGCCTGGGTGGCTCAGTTGGTTAAGCGACTGCCTTCGGCTCGGGTCATGATCCTGGAGTCCCGGGATCGAGTCCCGCATCGGGCTCCCTGCTCGGCAGGGAGTCTGCTTCTCCCTCTGACCCTCCCCCCTCTCATGTGCTCTCTCTCGCTCTCATTCTCTCTGTCTCAAATAAAAATCTTTAAAAAAAAAAAAAAAAAACTCTTGCAAAACTGTTTATGGAAGCTGAGCCCTACCTTAGTTTTTTTAAATTATCAAAGGAAATATTATTAGACATTCCTGCTTAAAGTAATGGTTACAGCCATAGACACAGGAAAATAATTTGGACTACAATTTTATTGTAAGACTTGACTGGGTCACGCCATGATGAATTATGCTTAAGGGAAGCCAATGAATCTGCACGATGAACATGCATCTCAGATGAATCTGGGGTAGGTAGTCTGTAAACGCTGAGGAAACGCTTACAGGGCACTTGAGCTTAGGCAGTCTGTACCAGCTGCCAGTGTACTACTCCTCAGACTGTTGGCTACATACAGTAACACTCAGCATGGAGTGGACACTTAGATGGATACATATGCTTCTGGATTATGGCTGGTATATTGTCTTTCTCTGTCATTCACAATGCTTTTGCTATGACCACAAAGGAACCCTGTCTTTTGAATGTCAACTTAGCTGTTTACATTTAAAGTTGTTAGAATATGATAGGTTCTCAACTACCAACCATCATTTCTTTTAAAAATATACACGCAGGAGCCTTAAACTGTTTAGGGTTGAAAGTGCATTTGTAAACAGATTTTCCATACTGTTACCAAAAAAGCACAGAGATCTAATAAAATCAGACCAAATATACAGTCTTCTTTTACGGTGGTGGGAAAAGGCTGATTATTCTAACCAAATATAGTAGATGTTTCAATACTAATGAAACTCTGAATTTAACTTACTTAGTAACCATGTAAATTTAAGCTTATGACAGCTAATACTTCCACAAAACAGTCAATATGAAATAGCCCTACATCCTACATTTCACTCGTATTTGCGAATTTTATAAATAAAAAACTAAATACTCAACTACACATGATTAACCTACTGAATCACAACTTGATCTTAGAAATAGAATTTTTAAAATTTACTAATATCTCAGTTATCAAGTATGAATAAGAGGAACAAATTTTTTATTTTTTATTTAAAAATTTTTTTAAAATTTTTATTTACTTGAGAGAGAAGCATGAGCAGGGAGCCCGATGCGGGGCTTGATTCCAGGACCTAGAGATCATGACCTGAGCCGAAGGCAGATGCCCAAGCGACTGAGCCACCTACGTGCCCCAAGAGAAACAGATTTAAAACTAATTATTTCATTAAATGTTGTATGGAAATACATGGAGAGTTCTAAAATATGCCAGATAATTCCCTGCCCTGGCAAGAAAATATATTAAATATATTTTAATCTTTCAGAAACAACATTTTGACTTTAAAATGTGTATGTGATGGGGCTCCTGGGTGGCTCAGATGGTTAAATGTCTGCCTTTGGCTCAGGTCATGATCTCAGGGTTCTGGGACTGAGAGCCCCACATCGGGCTCCCTGCTTGGCAGAGAGCCTGCTTCTCCCTCTCTCTCTACTGTTCCCCCTGTTGTGCTCTCTCGCTCTGTCAAATAAATAAATAAAATCTTTAAAAAAAAATAAAATGTAGAGGCGAGGGGGGTGGGAGGATGGGTTAGCCTGGTGATGGGTATTAAAGAGGGCACGTTCTGCATGGAGCACTGGGTGTTATGCACAAACAATGAATCATGGAACACTACATCTAAAACTAATGATGCAATGTATGGGGATTAACATAACAATAAAAAAATTAAAATGTGTATGTGAAATCAAAGGCTTATTACCAGTTTTCTAGGATTTATAAAGATCACCACCACCACCACCACCCATTTCCACTATTTTTACCTACACCCTCCTGACCTTTTAACAGCACAATCTACGTCCTTATCTAAGAATTACTAGTCTTTTCCAGAGCATTACTTCTAATATCCCTATCTTACAATTCCATACATCTCCTGTACTGGTGGGACTAAAGCAAGAATGACAAGGGATAGGAAAGGGTGCTGGTGCTTTCTATACTTCCTCCTTTCTAGAAATTTGAGACTGTCACCTACCTATCTCTTTGATATCTAAAGGGCAATCACAATCAACATAATACAAAGACTTGTCCTGGTCAGTTTCTCTCCACTTTTTTGCCTAACTCCAAGAAACATTTGAGGTCATTGATCCAACAATAACCCAGGGAAATGTCATGTAATTTTTTTATTTTCCGTTATGACAGGTGTCTAATGCATGTCAGCATGAAATCCTCAACACTGCTGTGTCATCCTTTTTGGTTTTCACCATGCATTTATAAATTTTCAACATAGTAAAAAGCAAGTTAAAGTCAGCTGAATGTAAGAGGCTATAAAACATTCCATTCATTCATTACATCAAGAACAGGAAACATAAAGCTAATGAAGCAAACAAAAAAATTGAATGTCTATATCAGAACCAAATTAAAAAAACAAAGGACAGGAGATAAAGACATACACAATCAGACCAAAAAGAGAAGAGGGTATACACTACCCATTCAGTGAGAAATCATGTTCCAAAATATAAACGAAAGGATACAACATAAGCTCCATGAGGGCAGATATTTCCATCTGTTTCATTCACAGATACACCCCCAGTACCTAGAACTGTGTTGGCACATAGCACCAAAACTTCTTTGAATAAATGATCAGAAGAACAGCTTTAACTTTTTAAGGTATTTTAGGATTAAAAACCAATTTGCATCTACAAACATAATATGCATATACTACTTTAGAAAAGAGGTTCTTAAGAGTGTGGTCAGTGGATACCTGGAAGTCCTAAGACCTTTTTACGAAGCCTCGGAGGTTAAAACTATCACAATAATAATACTAGGACGTTATCTGCCATTTCACAGGGCTGGCTTGTACAACAATGTTTAAGCCAATTCCTTGCACAAATATTCTTTGCCACCATACACTCACAGGTTTTTAAGAAAAGTGTTTCATTTAAAAAGTTCTGGTATGTGCCATTAGCCAAATGATTTTGTGGACCCACTTATTCTTGCTTTAAAAGAACATCTTGATTTCAGGGGGACTTACAGTCATCATTTAACCCACCTAAGTAATCACTTCCTTTTTTTTTTTTTTTTTTTTTTTAAGATTTCATGTATTCATTTGTCAGAGAAAGAGGGAGAGGAAGAGAACATAAGCAGGGAGAGTGGCAGGCAGAGGGAGAAGCAGGCTCCCTGCTGAACAAGGAGCCCCATGTGGGACTTGATCCCAGGACCCTGGGATCATGACCTGAGCCAAAGGCAGACACTTAACCGACTGAGCCACCCAGGCATCCCAAGTAGTCACTTCCTTTTCACATGCTCTCATAGCCTCCTGAACCTTCCCTTCATAGCCCTTATGACATATGTAAATCATGTAGTTAATACCCAACTCCCCATGAAACTGTACAGTCTGTGAGGGCCCTGCACAGACTAGCACACTGTTGGGAGCGTAGTAAGTACTGAAATGTTTGTTCAGTGAGGGGAAAAAAGATAATCAATACTCTCACTTTTTTCTTTGGAAAATAGTAGTAATTCACAATTATTTTCTTCGTAAGAACAGTGGCTTTCTAATAAGACTCATTATAAAAGCAGGGGCACCTGGGTGGCTCAGTCGGGTAAGCTTCTGCTTTCGGCTCAGGTCATGATCCCAGGGTCCTGGGATCGAGTCCACATCGGATTCTCTGCTCAGCAGGGAGTCTCTGCTTCTCCCTCTCCCACTGTGCTCCCTCTCTCAAATAAACAAAATCTTAAAAAAAATCGTAAAATCAGATTGTATACGTCCCTAATTTTCCCCAATTTCCACAGTTAAGACTGCAGATGAGTTCTGAGTCCATGACGACTTTTTCCCCCAGAGGGTCAAGTCCTTAACTCAGGTGGAACAGATTTAACTTCATCAATAGAAAATAAGGCAAGCAGCTAGACTAACTTCCTAATGGGTCACAATACATACTAGTAAGTACAGGAGGCTCCTCCCCTCGATGCAGTCGATGGCTGAGAATTACTATCTGAAAGGTCTGCTTCACTAACAGAGACCACTCCTTCTTTCCAGGCTGGTTATATGATCACACCCGGACATACACTGGCTCCTTCTACTTCTCTGGCATATGCTTTCTCCTCTCTTCAGTTTCCCTGTTCTTTGTACCGCTGGCTGAGAGATGGAAAAACAGAGCCTGACCAGAAAGGAAAAGGACTGCAATCAAGCAAGAGCTTAACAAAACACAATCTAAACTAAGAAGTCACTGGAAACAAAAGCTTGGAAGAAACCCGTTTCCTCATTTGTAAAATGAGAAGGCAAACCAGATAATTTTTAAGGTTCCTTCTTGCTTTTGCATTCTGAGGAATGTCTAATTAATAGTGAGAGAAGAGTAATAGCAACTTAAACTAAGCCGTTTGTTAGTATTTAATCAGGCTAAAATCTTCATCAGTCAAAACAACTACCTTAGGTATTAAGTAAAAATCCGAATAATAAATTATTACTTAATAATAAATTGACCAAACTCTCAACTGTGCCTTGGTAATTCAGCCACTAAAATATGTGGAGATGGAAAACCATTCTCATTAGCTTAAAGAAGTATTAAATGTAGCCATTGGCTGAGTAGGACTCTGAAATCTGAATGAGTATTAAAGCCTTGTTGAGTGATTAGAATGGTATACATCCTCCAGAAAGTTATCTTTCCTTATTAGAAGTAATTAGAAGTAATCTCTGTTTTCATTATTTTGTTTCCTAAATTTTCTATGATAAATGTGTATTGCTATGTAATAAAAAATAAGAATTGCCCAAAAGGGTGGGGGGGCACCTGGGTGATGCAGTTGGTTAAGTGCCCGACCCTTGGTTTCAGCTCAGGTCATGAGCTCAGAGTCGTGAGACTGAGCCCTGTGTAGGGGTCCATGCTCAGTGCAGAGTCTGCTTGAATTTCTCTGTCCCTCTCCCACTCCCGCTTGTGTGTGTGCTCTAAAATAAATAAATAAATCTTTTTAAAAAATTTTAAAAAGGGACATCTGGGTGGCTCAGTTGGTTGTCTCTGACAAATAAATAAGATCTTAAAAAAAAAAAATTGCTAAAAAAAGCACACCTTTATTTCAAGATCATTTGAATAGTATTCCTGCCCATCCAAACAATTTTTTTTTTTTAAAGATTTTATTTATTTATTTGACAGAGAGAGAGAGTTAGCAAGAGCAGGAACACAAGCGGGGGAGTGGGAGAGGGAGAAGCAGGCTTCCCGCCGAGCAGGGAGCCCGATGCGGGGCTTGATCCCAGGACCCTGGGATCACGACCTGAGCCGAAGGCAGACGCTTAACGACTGAGACACCCAGGCGCCCCTATATTACTTTTCACTACATCTAATTATCTAAAATAGTCAAGCTAGGGGCGCCTGGGTGGCTCAGTCGGTTAAGCATCTGCCTTCAGCTCGGGTCGTGATCTCAGGGTCCTGGGATCAAGCCCCGCATCGGGCTCTCTGCTCGGCAGGGAGCCTGTTTCTCCCTCTTCCTCTGCCTGCCGCTCTCCCTGCTTGTTCTGTCTGTCAAATAAATAAATAAAATCTAAAAAAAAAGAGAGAGAGAGAATATATGAAATATTCAAGCTAAATGATCTAGATGTGTCTTTAGAACTACAAGTTTTAGGGGTGCCTGGGTGGCTCAGTTGGTTGGGCGTCTGACTCTTGGTTTCGGCTCAGATCATGATCTTGGGGTTGTGGCATCGAGCCCCATGTTGGGGTCCATGCTTGGCAGGGAATCTGCTTGGGGTTCTCTTCCTCTCCCGCTGCCCCTCACCTACACACTCATGCTCTCTCTCTCTCAAATGGATAATAAATCTTAAAAAAAAAAAAAAGGAACTACAAGTTTTATATGAAGGTTGAATAAGTAGCTTTTAATGGAAGATACACTTAAACTATGTTTTGGTTTTTCTTAAAGATTTTATTTATTTGACAGAGCACATGCAGGGGAAGGCGGCAGAGGGAGAGAGAGAAGCAGGCTCCCCGCTGAGCAGGAGCCCAACACGGGGCCCGATCCCAGGACCCCACGATCATGACCAGAGCCAAAGGCAGCCGCTCAACCAAATGAGCCACCAAGGCAGCCCTAAACTATGTTTTCTATTTTTTTTTAATTTTTTTATTTTTTTTAAGATTTTATTTATTTATTTGAGAGAGAGAGAATGAGAGAGAGCAAGCACATGAGAGGGGGGAGGGTCAGAGGGAGAAGCAGATTCCCTGCCGAGCAGGGAGCCCGATGCGGGACTCGATCCAGGGACTCCAGGATCATGACCTGAGCCGAAGGCAGTCACTTAACCAACTGAGTCACCCAGGCGCCCTAAACTATGTTTTTTAAATATAGAATAATTATGTTAACTAGTTAATAATGTCACTCAGGCTAAGCAATTACATGTGAATAGAGAGCCCTTCATTTCATTACTTGGGTTATTTTAAGAGGAAAGAAAATACCTAGAGTTCTCTGTAACACCAAGCTCCCTGACAATCTCTTTCAGAAGACTCTTTCAAACTACTGTTACTAAAATTAAATAATTAAAATAAATCATTTAAAATTAAACTAATTAAAAAATAAAAATTTATTATCATTATTCTATCCTTCCATTCCTCTCTGCTTTAAAATATCTACTGATTCACTACAGAGGATAAGACTAAACTGAAAGCCTGGCTTTAGCTCCAAAATACCATACCCGCTCACTCCCTGTGTATGTCTCTGTGCAAGGTTTGCCACCACTTACAAAGCTTGCCTTTCTCCCTTGGGCACAGTCTCACCCTTCACAAGCTGACTCACTCAAACGCTACCTCTTCTGGAGACCTCCCCCAGCAGGAAGTCACTCTCTGTTCGGAATCCCATCTACCTTTTAAGAGAGTACTACATGAGCTCATATTGTCACTTTCCCATTAGTCTGCAAGATCAGCAAGTTGGATGGTGTTCTACTCATCTTTTTATTCCCCAGCATAAACTGTGGAACCAAATTAATCTGGATTCAAATCTCAGTGATCTTAAAAACAGTAGTTGGTCCTATTTTAAACATAGATTTTTCATTTAGATATAAATGTCTAACATTCTTTTTGTATTTTAGATGTAAGACAATATAAAAAAAAAGCAAACACCACTCCTCTTACACATACAGACAGCAAAAACAGTTGATAATAAATTCCATTCTGCCACTTGTTACCCTTTGATCTCATCAAAGTCATTCAATCTGAGCCCCAGTTTTCTCCTCTGTACCTGAGGATAACTGTACCAGCCTACCTCACGGATACACTGTGAGGCCTAAATGAAAATACTCCTGTACTAAGCAAAATAACCCTCAGACACAGCAGCTGCTAATTTCCCTTCTTCTGCTTTCTACATCCCTTCCATGTCAAAACAGAAGACAAAAAATCAGCGATTTACTAGAAACCACTCTCATCTATCCCCCTTCTCTTGTGAGCAATACTCTTCTCAAAAGAGACTTTACCTAGAACAATGAGATTCTTTCCTCCTAAGAAAGCAGACTGTACATTTTAAGTAGGACCAACTAAAGAACTCCAAGTTAAATTCTGATTTGGACAGGCTTTATGAATCTTACACAACAGAGCAACTCTTCATCTGCTCAATGGCAATAGCCCTCTGAACCTGGGTGGTGTGGATTAAGAAAGTCTGATTCCCTAGGCTGCAAGAACTTAAAAGACAGCTACAACTAATGTATTCCTTGTAATAACAACTAACTTATGATGTTCCTATTCATCTATTACTTTTCTTGGACAATATTGTAAGATGTCAACACATTTTTAGGAATCCATAATCTAGAAATACTATCTCAGATATATACTCAGTTTCAAGAAAATCAAAACAGTTCATTGACTTTCTTTCCCCTTCCCCCTCAAGAGATTCCTAGGGACAAAGAGGAGAACAAATATTAAATTTAGGATACACAACCATGTGTGTCTGGAGTGGTAGGGTAGTGAACAATTTTATTTCAACATCCAATATATACCCGTCACTGAGGGAGGCACATTTTATATATTATCTTATTTAATCTTCACAACCCTTAGAAACAGATACTATGATTCTTACAATGAATAAGCTTAAAGTCAAAGAAATTAAACATCCAATAAATAGTGAAGTCACAATTCATACAGACTGACAGGAAACCCTACACTGTCCTCTCTAGATCACTCTGACTTCTTGGCAGTACCACAAGATTATGAAGCTGATTTAATTGAAAGCAGTTATAAATTTGTTCTAACTCAAATTGGCATAAAATTTTATAATATCTAGATTGAAATGAAAAGGAGAATGCAAAGTACCTAAGAACCAAAACAAATTAAAATTAAAGCCACAAAAGACATGTGGTACAGTGCAGTAACAATGTAGTTGTAACGATAATTAACTTTTTTAGGTCTTTCAATATTCACTGAATCTTACCAAAGAAGGTAATGCTTGCCTTGTAATTAATTCCTCAGTACTAAAATATTAGTTGGAATGTTTATATTAAGCCTTGAAACATACGTAAATGTTTTTTTATTTAGCAGAGCTATGATAATTTGAACATAAAAATTCAGCATACTTTCTTCTCAACTACTTATTGGCTTATATTTAAAACTGTTGGGTGCCTGGGTGGCTCAGTTGGCTGAGCGACTGCCTTCGGCTCAGATCATGATCCCAGGGTCCCAGGATCAGGCCCCACATTGGGCTCACCCTGCTCTGTGAGGAGCCTGCTTCTCCCTCTCCCTCTGCCTGCCACTCCCCCTGCTTGGGCTCTGTCAAAGAAGTGGAATCTTTAAAAAATAAATAAATAAATAAATAAAACTGTTAAGATACCATTTCTTGCAGCTATTACTCTAAGAAGTGCCATACAATCATCACAAAAGATGGAATTTTCTACATATGTTGTTCATTAAGTACTATTTCTGATACTAAAACTCTACCTTTATGGTACCTTTAACTATTGAAAGTTCTTCCCTACCCATTATCTCATTATCATCATGTCAAGCCTGTAAGGAAGTTGAAGAGGTATTATTATTCCTATTTTATACTTACGGAACAAAAGCAGATTAAGACCGTTATTTGCCTAAAGTTACAAAGCTAGTCTTTAACAGAGCCAATTCTGAAACCTAACTACCAGTGTTGATTAGATCCCGGCCCCTGGCTTTCCCTTAATGATTGTCTAGAAGGTTAAAATTTAATGAAAGCAACAGCTACACTTAAATGGACTGAGGTGATAATTTTGTGATATTTTCCAAATAATCTAGGCATATTAATATATGTGATGCTGTTTGCAAAAAATTAGCTTAGCTAATAAACTTGTCCAACTGTAAAATCAGCTTTTTCCATGAGAAAATACACACCATATATTAGTATTTGTTATTTTTATGCAAGACAATACAAAAAACATGGACAGTAGTTTCTCTGAAGACTTCAATACAAAAAAAAGCCCAACTTTTTAAAATCCTTAAGTGTTTCTCTTAGCCCAAAACCAACTTGTAGGCTTTATGTACACATATTTACCTCATTTGCCTACTCATTTCCCACAAATATCTACCCAACTGGTCTCAGATTTATACCTAAGTTATTAACATATACACAAACAAAAAATAACAAAAGTGGCTGGAATCAATTTTAAATAAATTAGTTAAAATTCATGTTTCATTTCTGAGAGGAAGCTGGTATTACCTATGGTCACTGACTCAAATGACAATCATTTCTAAAAAAAAAAAAAAAAGGAAAGAAAAGAAAGAGGGGCGCCTGGGTGGCTCAGTCGGTCAAGAGTCTGCCTTCGGCTCAGGTCATGACCCCAGGGGTCTGGGATCAGAGACTCGCAGCATAGGGCTCCCTGCTCAGCGGGGAGGCTGCTTCTCTCTCTGCCCCTCCCTCTGCTCGTGCTCCCTCTCTCCCTCTCTCTTAAATAAATAAAATCTTTAAAAAAATTTTTTTTTAATTAAAACAAAGGAAGAGAAAAAGAAACAGAACCTCATCTCTGGTAACATTCCAACAGAAGGTGGTATATTGTGAAATCTCCTTCTATACAAAATAATGATCAATAGTAAGCCAGTGAAGCTTTTTTTAGGGATACAGAGAATAAACTAAGACAGGGTAACCAACTGTCTGGGTTTGGCTGGAAACAAGAGCGTTCCTGGGACGCAGGACTTTCAGTTTTAGAGCCAAGATGAGTTGGCCACCCTTACTAGCGAGGAGAGAATGTCTAGATATTTGACGGCACACAGCTAAAACCGAAAGTTTTCTTCTAGCCACCCCCCCAAAAAAGAAAATCACAAATTCAATTCTATTTTTACCTCATTCAAGCCCCAGCAAGCAAACAGAAACAGGATACACATTAGTAGTTAAGGAAGGGAGGCATACATTTTTAATGCAAATCCACTTTCAGGCATTAACTGACCAGGGACTTGGAAGTAATGGAAGACTTCCAGCTTTCACTTCTACTATTTTTATAGAAGTGACGATGTGAGCTGAAATAAAGCCAGGAGGTCCCACTCTTTGGTTCATGTCAACCAACACTAATGTTTTAGCAGGGAAGAGAAGTTTGTCAGGACCAAGGAAATGAGAAAGCTAAGTGTTAAAGAGCAAGGGCCAAACTGTCTTCCTTCCAATTATCTCAAAACTAGTCAGAGTTTAGCATAAATTATTTGCATACACCAACCTGTAGACTGGAGTTTATCACACTTGATTAAACAATTTCCAGCCTAAATGCCCCAGCTGTGTAGCATAGCCCTCTGAAGCCATAGCAGTAAGATGACTCACCAACTGGCAGGTGTCTTAGGGTCTACGAATAATGGATGTCTGCCTGGATGAAAACAAATGTATGTGCCCAACAGACGACCTCATCCTGCTTGGCAAAGAGAGGAGAGAAACTAAAAAACTGGTCAGTAGTACAGTACTTGTTTTATAATGGAAAAAATCGGACTTAGCGCAAAACAAGAGACTTGTAATTCATGCAGACTTTTAAAATGTCCTCTGTACATATTTTATCTTCCAATTTTCACTTACCAGAAAGGTTCAATAGAATAAGATCTAAGAGGATAAAAATCAATTTTATAATCCCCAAATTAGAAATAACTGAAAGTGAGAATTGTCATACTGAGTTCAATTATTTCAAGAAATGTGAAGTCAGAGTCACAAGAAAAATAAATCCATATTTAAACCCTCCTATTATATTTAATGACTTGATGTCAGTTTCCACTGAAATGAAAATTAGTAGTTCATGTTTGCATTCTAGTTCACGGATGTATTGAAAACTGACACCATGCCACAGTTAATAAGATATGGGTTTATAAATATGGAGTTTAAAAGAAACTTACCCTTTCCCTTTGTGCAGCTCTGACTTCCAACCCAGTTTTTATAGAAACAGGAGGACAAGTGCCAGTGCCAGAAGTCTGCCAATTAGAACTCATCTTTTAGTTGCTGAATAGTAAAGTCATATCCCAAAGTCGGCTATAGGTTTTTGATTGTCAGTAGTTCCTAAAAAGAAACCCAGGAGGAAAAAAAAGGTGTTTAACCAATTATTATACTTAAATATGCTCCCTCCTTTAAAAAAAAAAAGGCTATTAATATGAATTAGATGCTTGATTCTTGTTGCTATGTGAGGAAAAGCAGTTTATTTATGAAGTTACTATCATATTACAATTAAAAATTAAAGCAATTCAAACCTACACCTCAATCCTGTCTATATCCATCCCCGTAGAGATCTAAACCTACCTCTACCAAATTTTCTCAAGTACGGGGCAGCTATCAGCAAACAGTGTCTCAACTATCCTCACCCACGTCTGTAAAAAATAACATGTTTTATCTCACAAGGAAAAGAGTGGACCGACCAGAAGAGAATAGGAAGGAGAGGAAAAAGACAGAAGCATAACAAAATAAGCAAGAACCAACCAAGACAGGCAACAGCAACCCCTCCCCCTGTCTTGGTGACAGAGACCTCTAGTAATTTTCTGGTCACCAGAAGCTCACTACCTAAGAACTCTTTGTTCCTACTTTTCTTGATGAAAATATTTTCTAAATGCTTTAAAGTAAATGTCACATACTAATGAACAAATTGGAAAATCTTACCCATGAGAAATAAGATTCTAATCATCCCATTTTTAGCATAAAGAATATTTATGTATCTACATCTTAAGCATTGCTTCTTAAACTTTAAAGTACATAAAAATTACCTGGGGATCTCATTCCACGCAATGGGTCAGGGTGAGACCCTGTAATTCTATACTTCTAACAAGTTTTCAAATGATAGTAATGCTGCTGGTCTGAGGTCCACACTTTAAAGGGTTAAGGCTTCTGGAAGACTAAGCAACATATATACTGTACTCTGAACGTTTTTGGTTTTGATTTTCAAACAGTGCTTAAGAGGTTGATTCTGTGTGCTTGTGAGTCTGTTTAAGGTCTGTTTCTAGAGCAATGGTTCTCAACCCTGGCTACACATGAGAATCATCTGGGGCACTTAAAACAAAAAAAATAATACCGGGGCCTTGGCAAAGGCCCACTCCACCTAGATCAATTTAAATGAATCTGAGAGAGTGATTTCCAGGTACTGGCACTAAAAAGTTCCTCAGGTGATGCTAACGTAGAAGCTAATGTAGCAGAAACTGTATATGACTATATAGTGGAAGCTCTCCTGACCGTGGCCTGAAAACAGAAAGAATAAGAAATGACATATTGAGGAAATACGGATATACTAGGAGGAAGACTGCTTTGAAATCTCAGGGTGGCCAGCAACTTTGAGCCTGAAGAAGAAATACAATCTCTACTATGGTTATTTAAATAAAAGAACACCACTGATCTCTGAACAAGAACATTTTCAGTCTTACAGTGAATCTGAAATGCTAACATATCTTTGGAGGAAATGCTATCTTTGACTTGTCAACAGCTGAAAGATTTCCTATTTTGAATTACTTATATTGTGTCTGTCTTCAATTAGTGTAGCTAATTAATTCTTCAAATATTTGGGTACCTATTATATGCCAGGCATTATTCTACATCTTGGGAATAGCTGAAGGAAATTTGTGTTACTTTCCTGAGACAGGCAGTCAAATCTTGATCAAATCACAGCACTCCACCTCCTTAAAACTTTAAAAGCTTTCTATTGCATTCAGCATTTGTCCTTGGCAACTGGTCCTTACAGTTCACTATCTCCCTTCTTCCATCAGAATGTCAGCTCCATGAGAAAAGAGAAATTTGTTTTCTTCACCAATATACTCCCAAGATCTAGAATAATTCCTGGTACATACAGATATCTAAATATTTGAAGAATGGGGGCACCTGGGTGCCTCAGTCATTAAGCGTCTGCCTTCCGGCTCAGGTCATGATCCCAGGGTCCTGGGACCGAGCCCCGCATCAGGCTCCAGCCCCACATCGGGCTCCCTGCTCCACGGGAAGCCTGTTTCTCCCTCTCCCACTCCTCCTGCTTGTGTTCCCTCTCTCACTGTGTCTCTCTGTCAAATAAATAAATAAAATCTTTAAAAAATAAATAAATGAATAAGTATTTGAAGAATGAATTAATTCCACACTAACTGAAGACAAACCCAGGTTAGATAATCCAAAACAAGAAATCCTTCAACCATTTAGAAGTCAAAGATACACTCAACTTTATAATTCCATTCTGCCTCAATCCTATCAGTAACCTGCCTAAGAGGTAGTATATATAGGTGCCGGTTCATTCACAAAAAACAACTTGCTCATGTACATACACATATACATAATCCTAGAATCGCTTTCATTTTAATTTAAAATAGACTACAGTCACAGTATTTTTAGATTAACATCCGAAACCTCAAGGATATCCCAATACAGTTCCTGGCTGTATATCCCCTAGCCAAACTCACAAAACTTTTCTGGTATCCCTTTAGCATTTTATAAATTTTTTAAAGAGTGGCCCTTCTTACAGACTGTTATAAGGCAAAAATCACATACTAAGCTAGACTGAATTCCTTGGAAAAATAATTACACGACTATAAAACAGTTACTTAACTGACGGTTTTAAGTGATAAGTTCCATGGCATTTGCAGTTTCATTCTGCTTGTCTCTGTAACAGCTTTGAATTTATCTTCTGCAATTACCTCCTCTCAGCCTCAGAGACAGAACACTACTACTCTGGCTCTTCTCCTTGGGATTCTTTTCCACACCATCTCCCCTTCCCATGCCGTATATATGACATAACCCCAAGTTTACACTTCAGCACTCTACTCTCTGTGGGCCAGTGATGCTCAACATGTGGCCAATCACCACAGACTACATCAGAATTACTGGGGAAGCTCGTAGAAGAACAAAGACTCCTGGGCCATGCCAGCCCTAACAAATCCCAGAATGCGTGGAGTGGGAGCCAAAGGCCTGCATGTTTCCCAAAACCCACAAATGGTGATACACTCTATAGTTTGAAACCCACTGCCCAGACATTTTCTCAAGTTTGCAGCTTTATCCCATCCCAGCCTCCAGAAAAAAGTAGTGAGGTAGGACAGTACAGCAACCAAAAACTCTAGCTGGAACAAATGCCTGGTTAGAACCCTGGCTCTATCAATTCTAGCTGTCAGATTATGGTCTGTAGTGAAACCTATCTGAGACAATGTATGCATAGGCCCTGGCAGAATGCTTGGCCTAAAATGGGTATTTTTAATAAATGATTGCTATTATTAGTACCGTCGCTTTCTGTCAACCTGCCTCAAACTGATTATGCTTCCTCAAACCGCCTTGCCTTTCAGGATTCCCTCCCTATTTCTGTTGACCTGACCATTTTACAAGTTTTCCAGGCTTCAGCCTGCTCAACTTTTCCACTGATCAACAAGCTGTTTTATTATTCATGCTTGCCTGCCCAACATCTCAATCCCAATCTCCCTCATCATTCCACATCCTTCTCCACCTAACACATTATTTTGTAGTCTTTCTTGACTATCCCAGCCTAAAGGAACCTTTAAGCTCATATACTCATAGACCTGTATCACCTGTAAAAATTCATTAGCAATTAATCAAAACCTGGCCTATGACATCCCTCTTGTAATTGTCTTAAACTGTGAACTTTTCCCCTGATATTTAACCATTTACTTGTTTATATCTAGTTTCCCCAATTACAGTATAAGTTGCTGAGATGTGTAGAGACTGATACTTTCATCTATACGCTCAGCACCTTACTTCTTAAGATACAGTCAGCATTCAAATGATTATACAGAAACTCTACCTGAAAGCTTAATGTTACAGCATTTGAGTAGAAGCATGTTAAGTAATTTGACCTCAAGTTCAAAATCTCTTCTTAGCTGCTAAGGACAATCTTGTGTGAGGTTTGAAGGAATTTTGTCATTCAATAAATTGCTTAGGGAACCGGAGGGAGATGGAAGTGGTGGTCAGATAAGCCATAATCAGATAACCCATTGTAAAAAGAAAAATAGATGCTGCAACCAGCCATAAGCATTAAATTTACTGCCTCAGATAAACAGCTTGTAAACAACAATGTGACTTAAGCTACAGAAGTGACAATTTATAAAATCTAAGTTGTATTACTAAAATCAGGGTACTCCCTATTTTCAATTTTAATACCCACAGCTTGGCTTTTCAAAATGAGCACAAGTCAATTCAGAGGTGTTCTTGGAATAATTTCCTTTATAGCAGAATCCTAAATTTAGACCATACGAAAGATACTGAGAAACCAAACAAAGAATTCAAAAAGGCAGGTCCCAATTTATAAAACCAGAAGTCTAGATCTAACACTCAACCCAATTAAGAATTTTTCCTTCATGGTGTAGCTAGAAATAAAATGATTTCATGAGTAGTTTCAAAAGACTGTCATGCTGAGTACCCTTCCATTTTGCATGATATCGTTTCATATACAAATAAATAAATGTTCTATTCGCAACCTTTTCCTCTTGTTCTTGAGATGAAACCTGAGACCTTAGAAAGATACCAAACATGTGGAAATATGTAGAGTGTCACATAATCTTCCTGAAATCATTATAGTGATTTAAAATACTTGCTTACTAGTTGGAAAAACTACTTAATGGGCTTTCAGTGTGGACTAGCCAGAGAAAGAAAATACATTGGAAATTGACATTCCCAACAGGTACAAAACCTTTGAAGAAATGTAGGTGAGATCATCTAGCAGTTTTAGGTGACAGCCAACTCATAAGCAGAGCTTTTAAAAACTTGTCAGTCACACAATGACAAACTGAAAAACAAAAACAACCACTGCACTTCACTTTTCCCCTTTCGAAAGAGATGAAAAACCAGAATTTTGTGAAAAAGAAAAATTCAACATTTCAACCCCACTTTAAGGAAACCTAGCTGTATCATACACTAAAAAAGCCATGCTTATATTAAGTTGCCAAAGCCTCATACCTGATTAATTTGGGGGGAGGGGAGAGGGATTGGAAGGGCTCAGAAGGCTGGTAGGACTAAATGGACAATGAAAATGGCGAGCGCAGACAAAAGCTAGATTTCTCGAAACATTGCCTATTTACGTCCCTAAAACTATAGTTGCCTATTTTGATAATTCCATCTCTTTGTAAGCCAAGAAGAAAACTAACCATTTTGGCTAACTTATCTATCATTCCCAGTCTGACGGTACTTTTCTTTTTGTGCTATATACTAACCCAGAGGTTTAGAATCAGCGTTCGTAATGGCAACATTTTACAGTAGTAAGTTCTTCCAGTACCATTAAATCACCACAGAGGGTGAAGGCCACGGTTAATGGAAAATGTCAAAACTTTAAAGGACATCAGGCTGTAAATCCCAAACCCATAACCAGGATTTTAATACTTTGGGCTCCCACGATAAAAAAATTTTTCCGCGAGTTAAAGTAAACTAAAAAAAGATATACATATAAACACGAAGTACAACAAAAGTTCTGGCCTAGACTTTTACAAACACAACACTTTGGTGAGGAGAGGAAGCTAGTCATGGCAGCAGAGCGCCTAAAGACTTTCAATCAGAGAAACAATACCCCAACCAGTAATAGCCCTCACCCTGTTAATCAAATGCATTTTTGACCTCTAAAAACCCTCTTACCTGTTTACAAGAGTTTATACAGCTGTTTGCCACTGGAACACCACCTTGCAGAGCATAACCGTGGCATCCTTGGTTGATAATCACCTGTTGCCTAAGTAAGCATCATCCCGCATGGAGACAGACAGCACTAGGGCTCTTCCATCCGAGGTTAAAATTCAAAACAAGCCCAACAAGCCTGCATTTCAAGGTGGTCTTCGTCTGCAACTAGTTACGTTTAAAACTGGCAAACGACAATGGTGTCTGAAGCCACTGGTGGCAGTACTGCTGGCTTCCTCTTGAATTGCAGCGTTGTCACTGTGCACCGAAGTCTCCTGCTGCAAACAGGGGAGTTGTTCTCCTGTACTGGGAACAGCTTCCAAAGCTCAGGAGCCCCTGTACAGGATAACGCAGGAACTAAAGGCAAACACTTTCTCCTCTTTAAGGATGCCTCCATTTTTTCCTCACAATCTGTACTACCAACCGAAGTGACTGGGCCTGAGTGTGCGTTCGTACCTATGAAACCGTCACGGTGCATGCACATCCAAGGCATGTGGAACCACAGGTCAAATAAGGCACAGATACCAAGTAATGGTTCTAATTACAAACGCTAGCTCTCAGGAACTCTTCATCCATTCAGAACTAAACCCATCACTGCATAACTCTGGTAAGAAGCCCCTGGAGATGGAGGAGCTCCTCAAATGTGTCAGGAAAGGCTTTATTAACATCATCATTAACATTTAAAAAGCAAACGGAGCATTTCTCCTTCTTTTGGCAATTTGGTGCAAATGTTAAGTGCAAGATAAAGCAATTTCAAACTTTTCTTCAAATTAAAAATGAAACTAAGGCCAAACGTGATGGGTGAACAAAATAAATCAAAACTTAAATTTCAGCAACTCCGGCTCTTCAAACCAGCAAAGCCCCCGACTCGTGCACTGTGGTGAGGCTTACGGTGCTTGCCCCGGCTTCTTGCGTGCCAGCAAACAGCACCATTTCCTCATCAAGTTGAGGACTGAGAAGCAAAGGATCCCCTTCGCTGCAAACAAAGGGGGTCACAGTAACACTAGTGATCCTTCAGAATTGACACACCGCGATAGTCAAAATGATGGTCTCCCTGCTTCTTGCTCAAGACATACAAGATCTGAGCAGCAGCAAGTACCCCCTCGGCTGCAAACAAAGGGGTCAAAGGTTTGCCGTCAATTCACTTCCAGGCAGAAAAACATTTTCCTCAAAAGAAACAATTTATTTAGAATAAAACAAAAGCAGCTCAACTGTGAGCGCACGTTTGAGTGACAGCTACTTTTAAGCTGTGTGAGCCATAAAAAGGGTTTTTCTTTACTTTTCCAGAAATCTTGTGTACACAGCACAAAGCAAGAGGTCATTTTTTTTTCCACTTAAAACACCGGCATTGGCATCACAATAGCAGATACACAACTTTAAGCTGCCATTTTAGTAAAATGCACAAATACTAAACAGATTAGCTTTCTTCCATCAAGAGGCCCATGTAAACTCCACATAAGCCACAACTTCTCTTCAAAAAGGTCCATTAGAGCTTTGAATTCCATATCTTCAATCCGCAGTTCACCAGTTTTGCTTGCGGGGGGGGAAAAAAAGGTTATTCAGTACAAATGTTTACAATATTAAAAATATATATATTTCCCCTATGCCATTATAGATGAACATAACATTAACAAGACCTTCCTGGATAGTCCAGCTTGACTTCAAAAAGCACCAATAATACCCACTGGCACATACCTTGAATGAATTTACTGTATGAATAGACAAATAACAAGTAAAACAACAGGGTGGATTTTTTTAAGGACTGCAATTAAGCAAAGATTACAGGACTGAAAATACCCTTTATACTCATGTAACTGAGTAAAACATGTCAAAAATTTTCAGAAAAAAGAAAGTTTATAATCCATTTATGATCAATATATTCTAAATATAACTTAAAAAATTAAACTAAAAAAAGGTGGAGTTTAGTCAAACTTTTACCCTCTCTGGTTTCATTCCATAATTTATATGGAACAATCCAGAACTATTCCGTTGTAGAAAGGGGTCAAGATATGAAGCCATTTAAAAATCCACCTTCATCTGTGTTACCAAAGACAGCAGCTGTTCTTTTAAGAAAACTCATTAAGAACAATTGCTAAACAGCCAAAGAACATTTTAGGACTTTTACTTTTCAACTGTTTAAATCAAACATAGAAACCTTTTTATTTAGCTAGACAGTTCGCTGTGGTTACCTGAAATCATTTTCTCCCTTTAGGGACATCATTATGACCAGAATGTTAACAGGGTCTGCTCCACTTCTCTTCTCGTTCTCATACCTAACTGCCATCTCAAAACCAAACACCGTAGCAGAGACAGAAAAAAAGTCCAGAAATTCTCTCCAAAACATTTCACATAAAGGTCATTAAGGCCCTCTCCTCAAGAGGATTTCCTAATTCTGTTACCACAGAGTTTTTGGTGAATGGTTCCTATATGAACCCAAACTGAAGTTCAAGCTGTACCTGCATAACGAGCAATTTCATGGTCTAGAGAACGTGGATTTCAAATTTTAAAAAACAAATACTGTCAGTGAAAACCTGCTCATAAAATTTTTAAATAAACCTAAACAGTGTTTGACTCTGAAAGCAACACACACACACCTCACTTTTCCTACTGTATCTCAAATGATCTAAATGAATTAAGGGCCAGAGTATGTTACCTTCAAAATGTGACAAAAAGCTTATACCAGCCAGAGGATGGACATTTTAAGATGTAATCCTTAAAGGGAAAACTCTAGCTACAGAGTCCAAGTATACATGTTAAACCAGGAATTTAAATTTTTGTGTGGAAAACTATAGGAATCCCGGTTACAACCAACAAAATAATATTTAAAAAATTGGCTAGGAGCCGAATGATTGCTTAACTTTCCGTAAACTTTGAAGTTGTGATCTAAGTGTTAATTAGCTTGATGTTTTTCCCCAGTAATACTTAATAAGTCATTAAATGATATACTGAAGAAATTTTCTTTGCATTCCTTTCAACAGAGTTCCAGAAAAATCAATTTAGCTAAACGAGTATTTTTTTTTAAAAGTAAAAGAAACAAGTGGTTGTTATAAAGAACATCCAATATTGAAATTATGAAATTCTGGCTAATGAGAATTAGAACCAGATAGCTTTAGACTCTTGCTTTCATTCCATCCTGAAGGCTTAAGTAGATAGTTTAACAGTATTATGAACCTGCACAACAGAATGGGCAACACAAATAAGAGATTCATCTGAATGATGGCACTCTGTAGGTTAAGCACCAAACTAAACATAATTAGTTATTTCTAATACATACATTTAGAAATGGTATCAAGCCATTGTTTCAGAAACACGGAAGCACAAATTGCGCAGATCTAACAAAAGCCGCCATGTCAGATAAAGAGTCAAACAAACAAACATGGAGCAAAAACCACAGTACTCTTCGGTAAGTTGTCACATCAACTTAAAAAAAAGAAAAAGAAAAGAAAAAAAGGAAAATGGGAAAAACCACACTTTGGATTAGAGTAAAATTAAATGTTGTGGACTTCACTCTCTAAAAGAGCAAAATCATTTGTCCAGCCTTATCAAAAGATATTCAAAAGTTAATGGTTAGTGAGATTATTTAAACTGGAAAAATGTATCTAGCCAAACTGTACTTTGACCCCATGTATACACAGACTGCAAACCTCCATTAGTTTCTGAACAGTGTCTCCTCCATATTAGCGTGCCAAGCAAAGCTTTTTAAAAGCAAAAGCACCAAGTCTTACTTGTAGGATTTCAGATATTCTCCCTACAGGCACACCAAGGACCTTTGTGCTCACAGCCTAGTACCTTCCTTCTGTCAAAATAGCTAGTTTTTCCAGTTTAAAAAACAAACAAAAAACCCACAAACACCTCCCAACTTAAAAAGAAAATTTATAAATGCATGGTGAAAACCAAAAAGGATGACACAGCAGTGTTGAGGATTTCATGCTGACATGCATTAGACACCTGTCATAACGGAAAATAAAAAAATTACATGACATTTCCCTGGGTTATTATTGGTGCTATTTCAAAACTACCAGCTTTGATAACAGAAAGAAAACAGTTGAGTTCTGCCAGGCTTTCTATAAGTCACTTTCACAGAATAGAAACATGACCATGATCCAAAAGGTCGTAGAGTTTCTAATCATAATTAAATATCAAGGGCCTTAGCTAAAGTCCTCAGTGTTTAAAATCAAAGGGGGAAATATACTTAACTAATGACCTGAGAAACTAGGGGTGAGGACAGAGGGACAGATCAAAGAAACAAGACAAAAAAGAAAATCATCCATTACGGTTTTGCAGCAAAAGCCCTTGTTAAGAACCAGGAATTGATATAACCTTCAGCTTTGAAAAAAACTGTGAGGGTGGGTTAAATTATTCTGTATTAATTCCAGGTGTTTGGGAAATAAAACAATAAAAAGAGGTTCTCCCACACTGACATTTCAGTTCTCTGTGGTTGGACACCAGTGAATATGTTAAACACAAAATTTCAAAGATATTCAACATTTTCAATAATGTAATGTCATCGCTACTGTTTATAAATGAAAATAAAAATACAGGCAAAATTTAAAAAGAGCATGTCAAAGGCATTTCACGATGACTTTAAAAATTTCTGCAATCCAGATATGGCTGATTAATGCCCACTAAAACAAAAGCCGACTTATGAGCCTGCAGACAACTCTTCTTTCTATTATTGAAATCAGAAATTTGCATGGATACAAAAAAACTCATCTTTGATGAAAAACACTTAAGTTTTGAAATATGCACAATTAAATTAGACCTGTACCTGCTATACCTCTCTGAAAGTCAGTAAAAACACCACCACACACCAATAACTAACCAAAGAATTCTGATTTTAAAAACACCTACTCACTTCTTGCATACTAGCATAAGACATAAATGGTTTGTAACCTACTCCTCAATTTTTACTGAACAGTTACAGCTACAAACCAAAAGTGCATATACGGGATACAGAACTTAAGAACTAATGATAAAAAATGCGTATGTTAAAGCAAACTCTCCGGGAATGAACCATGTATCTTAAGAGAAATACTCAAATACCTGATTAAAATAATTACATTGCTATACAATTTACCAGCTTGTACTTTTAAAATTCCTGATCAAATTTCAGCCACACAAATAACATTTCTGGTACAGGAATTATTTACCTACATACGAATCAAGCCATTTTTAGGTGTATATTATCATCTTTATAAAGTCAGTGGGCTCTTCTCCAAATCCCGACTTTTCAAAAATTTTGGGTTTGTAACTCTGAGGATTTTTTTTTTTTAAGCTCAAGGTTAAAAAAGGAAAAAAAAAAAAAACTGAAGAAAAAGAGGAAAAGAAGTTACTCATAGGAGTAGGAACTCCTAATTAAAATAAATCCATCCGCCTGCTACCTTCAGGGCATCCCTTTCACTTAAAATAATAGCTAAACTGTCCTGACTTCTATTTTAAAGGTTTATAAAAATATAAAAAAGAAAAAAGCTAGAACTAAACAAACTAATTCAAAAGAAAATTTCATCTGATGCTGTATCCCATTACACATCACAAAACAGGAACCATGTCAAAGTAGTAAATACAAGTTACACATGGACTTTAGGACGCACCACGGACAATGATCATGACCAGGTAATCTTCTTCAGATTTGGCCAGTGCCTTGGCAGGGGAATCCAGGAACTGCTGGGAGAACTCACAGGGTGGGAAAGCATGTAGGACCCCGGTGTTTTCCTTGTCTTTGTTGCCCCCCACAGGGAGGCTTATCACCCCAGCGGCCTGCTTTTGCTTTAAATAGGACACAAGGTTCCTAAGTGGCCTCTGAGTAGAGGTGGCAGTGTCTGACGTGGCTGAAGAAGAGGAGGACCTGCTGTCAGAACTTCCAGGCACAGCCAGAAGAATGGCATAACCATTGGGCCCTGCCACTTTGATGCGTCGAGTTACTTCATCCAACTTGGGCTGGTCCAAACGAAGACGCTGAGTGATCTTGAGCTGGGCTACTTTGCCTCCAGTTGAGCCCTCCACAAGAAGACTACTAGCCACTTGGAGGTCACCCTGCAACAGATGCATGTTGGAAGGAAAGTTGCTGTTCTTCAATAGAAGCATGCCCTGCCAGGCCAAACAGAGTTTGGGAGAGGCTGCAGCTGTGGGGGCTGTCCCACCGTCCTGTTTCTGGGAAGGGGACTTTAGCTTCGAGGAAACAGTGCTGGTGCTGGGTGCACTCCCATCAGAACGGTCTTCTTTTTTCAGAGGGCTTTTTCCCTCAGTGGGAGCAGCTGTCCGGTGCTTCCTATCCCGTTCAGCTGATGCAGAGTTTTTACGGTCTCGCTTGTCACCCTGGCTCTTCTCCAAACTACCTCGTCTGTCTCTGACTGGAGAGGGCCTTTCCAAGATAAGAAGACGGGAAGATCGATCATTGTCACTGTTGTAGCGATCCCGGCTACTGCTCAACTCTGGGCTGCGGTCGGGAGAAGGAGCACAGTGACGTTTTCGGGGACGGTCACTCTCAGGGGACCTATCCAGGTGCCGGCCCCCACTTTCCTCAGGCAGCCTTCGCTTCCTAGGCTGGTCTCTGCTGCTGGGCAAATCTCGCTCGCCTCTGTCCCGGTCCAAGGACCAGCCATCTCGCCTGCGATCCAGGCTATCCAGTGGCTCATAAGCAGGCACAGCAGTAGCTGCAGTCCGAGTGCTGCGTTCACGGACTGGGGGCGGGGGTGGCACCCAGTCAGAGTCAGGATAAAGGTCTCTGTCACGATCTCTGTACAGTAAGGGTGGTGTCCTATCCCGAGCACCCCTCAAAGGGTCAGGTGCTCGATGTCCAAAAGCATCTGTCACCAACTCATAATGAGTTAAGGGCAGAGGCTGCAGATATTGCTGCTGGTAACGATGTTCTGTATCTGCAAAGTCTACTCTAAGGCGACGATCTGGGCCACCAAGTGGGAAGCCACGCATATGGGTCCAGGCAGCATGAGCTGCATCGAGGCTTTCATATTGGATATATGCCCAACTATCACCTTTGCGGTAGTCTATAGTGCGAATGGTGCCAAATCGGTCAAACTCTCGGGCCAGGGCAGCAAGAGGCACCCAAGGTCCCAGACCACCTACCCAGAGGCGGGTGGTCGGCGTAGCTTTACCATAACCAATTTTGATAGGATTCCGAATAATAATTTTGCCAGACATTGCTAGTTTGGCCCGGTGAGACATGTCTAGGTTCTCAAATTTGAGAAAGCCATAGGTACTGGTCTGGCCCCGAGAAGGCCTCTTGATGTCTACCTCAGTGATGACTCCAAAGCGGTCAAAAGCCCTTCTTAGATCACTCTCTGTCACAGTGATGTCTAGGTTGCCCAAGAAAAGCGTCCGGTTAGCTCGCTGATCATCCTCGGGTGAGATCTCATCCACTTCTCGGAAAGGAGCAGCACCTGCTCCAGCTCCCACCCTTGGCTCAAGACTGTATGCTGGGCGCACTCTCTCATAGAACGGGTAGTCTCGCTCTCTCTCCAGCTCACGGGGCAATGGTGGTGGAGGTGGAGGGGGCAGGCGGCCAAGAGCCAACTGCTGCAACCGGTAGTCTCTGTATCCCAAGGCTGCGCCACCAGGGGAAAGTGATCGCTGGCCTCCACCTCCTCCAGGGGGGTGCCGGTGTCCACCTACAGAGGCCCCGACCACGCTGGCTGACGGAGGGTAAGTATCTTTGTCTAAAGGGGAGCGGCTGCGGCGCCGGCTCACATACACAGCTTCTATCTTCAGAGGCCGGTCATAGAGCACTAAGCGGCCTCGGGCATGCTTGGCCGCCCGCGCGTCCTCTGGCCGCCGGAAGTTCACAAAGGCTACTCGCTCATCCCCGCTGCCAGAACCCGAGAGATGACTGATTTTGACACTTACATCACCGAAACGTTTGAACTCGTGAAACAGTCCGTCCTCCACCGCTTCGTCACTCAGCTGGGACCCCAACTCGCTTATCTTCAGTGTCTTGTATTCCCCGCCGTCCCCGCCGCCAGGAGCTGAGGAGGCGGCCCCAGAGGAACGTGACTCCCCGCCTCCACCCCGGGAGCTGCTGCGCGACTCGCCCCCGCCCGAGGAATTTTTGGTGCTTGGGGAGCTGTAACTATGCAAGCGGCTACTGGAGCTGCCCCCACCAGTGTCATACTCGCGGCTGCCACCTCGGCTGCTGGACTTGTCCAGATGAAGGCTGCGCCGCGACCCGCCGCCGCTGTCGGTCTTTCCGCTGCTACTCCCATTGCTGCCACCAGAGCCCCCTAACTTCTTGCTCCGCTCCCCGCGGGAAGTCGAGTCCTCACCTCCACGGGAGCGTTTGGGCTTGACTGGAGAGCGCTCTTTTCCCTTCATTGTTGCGGGTCGTCGGAGGTCGTCTCCGCGGAGATGATTAACCCGCCGCCCCGCGCTCGTTTCACACAGCGGAACCGCACGCCGCCATCTTGGACTCCGCCGCGGTAAAGGATCCCGCCCCGCAGTCCTCATTGGTCAATTAGCTTGTCTCTTCTACAGTCTCATTGGGAAAACGATTTGTCTGTCTTTACATCTCCCCGCGCTCCGGAAAGGCGCCCGCCCAACCACTGTTATTGGGTTCCCAACGCCCTAGTCTGAGTACCTCATTGGTTATATTTGTTGTCCATCTTAACGGTTCCTCGCGCCAGGCTGTGGCTCCGCCCCTCGCACTCTAGGGTCACCTGACCCAAACTCTGGAGGCGTTGATTGGACAAAAAGTCTGCCCTGTAACGGTACTTCTAGCGCGGTAAAAGCAGTGATCCCACCTCTTCATTCCTTTCATTGGTTTGTGACTCCGTCCTTTAACTCACTATCTGGGAAGTCGGGCCATCAGTTCTGGCGTTTTTTCTGAGAGGCCCGCTTACAGCGTTCTCGCGAGAGAGAAAGCGCTCCCTTTTTCGACCTCTTTTTCCAACTCCTCCGGCGGCTCAAAGAAGTTTAAATTTGATTGGATGTTGACAAGGAAGTTGATAGGCTGAAATAACTGTCCATCATTCGCTTAAAGGGGTAGGCTCGTATACTGAGAAGGCTGACTGAAGGTGAAAGAGTAGAACACGCGCTTGCTGTGCGACGTCACGAAGACGTCGCGAGATGGTGACCCAGAGCTAGCTCCGCCTCCTCGCGCTTTCGGCGTTCTCTCCTCAAACATTTGTTTGGTCTTGCGGCGTGCTTGGGTGTGCCTCGGCCCCTGGAACCCGAAACTTCTGGGCCGCCCACTTAGTTACTTGCCTAGGACAAGGGGCTGTCGGGGCGAATTCCTCAGGAAGGCGGCCCGGGGAGCTCCCAGCGGACACCATCTTAGTCCCTCTGACCTCAGAACAGCCTGTAAAAGCTGGGGCCCTGGGATCCGCGGGGCAGGGTGGCCGCGGGTTCCCAGTTCGCCAAGTGCCGGTCCCACTAACACCTGGGGCTCTCGGGGGCCCGCAGCCGGGAGGCAGCACAGTCGAGCTGCAGCCCTCGCCCGGGGCCTGGCTCTCCTTGGCGCTCCCCGCTCCAGCCCAAGTACCCCGCGTAACCGGAGGGGGCGGGTACCCGGCGCCCGGGCCCCGCCGCCCGCGCGCGTGTCTCTGCGCTCCCAGTTTTCTGTTGCGAAGCCGCGTGCGTTTGGATTTTGTACAAGATCTGGCGATCTAGGTCCGTGGGCTTTGTATATGTAATGTCCCTCCCCGTTAAATATTCGAGTCAAATTGACGCTCCATATGCAGACGTGTCGCGTTTTTTCTGCGGCTTCTCGTACCTCCCGGCATCAGGTTAGTATAAGAACCCAGTAGCACAGCCTTGCCGACTCTCCAGAGGAACCTCTTTGCCTCCTTCAGGCATCATCTGCTTCAAACCCCAACTTTCATAAAGGTAAATAAAGCACTTGTGGCAGGTGCTGCTCTTTGGCAGGTGAAGGAAGTGCTGAGTTCATCACGGCGATTAGGCTTTTTGCCGTCCTCCCAGGTCTCCTGGCAGAGGTTACGAGAGTTCTTATGTTGATCCTCTCCTCTCACTTCTTTCAAGTCCAGTATGTAGGAGAGAATGAGATTTTAACGTAACATTTTTCAAGGTAATGCGCATGTCCCCAAAACTGAAACCTAAACTTGAAAGCTGTGTTATGATTAGGACTGCAACATGTTTAGCCCTGCCTTAGCCATCCTTCTCTTTCTAGATAATCTTGAGGAAGGTGAATATGAATTTTATCTCTTGATTTGATCAAAGCTTGAAAGAAGCCTGATAGGTAAAAGCATAAAAATCCGCGGCACTGTAGTATGTAGACTTATTCGCTGAATTATGACTAGCTATTAAAACTTCATGAGGCATAGAACAATGTGTATAACATGCTACCACTTGTGGTTTTAAAAAATAATATATATGCGTAGGTGCACGTGTTTTTGTTAATGCATTCACAGAAACTTCATTGAGAGTACTTTGGTTATGGTTACTCAGATTACCCTGAGAGGCGGGTGGAGGGTCTGGGTGGGAGAGAAACTCAACTTTCCATTGTATATCTTTCTGCATTATTAAAAGGAAACTTGTTTTACCATGTGCATGCTATTACTGTTTCATTTTTTTTAATTAGCAATCCTTAAACTAACAAGAAAAAAAAAAAAACAAAAGTAGGATACTATAAAGAACTCCGGTGTACCCAACACCCAATTTCAGCAATTACCAACTCCTGTCAATCTTGTTTCCTATACACTCTCTTCCCACTCTTCCCCCTTTGTTATTTTGTTACAGGCTTATCTGATACATTTCCTGCCCCAGACATGAAATCAGCCAGTTCCTCCAAGGAGATCTGGTTGCTTTTAGTGAGAAATGATATTTAAAGATAAAAATCTGGATGTTAGGAGATAAAGACAACAACAACCAACACATTATTTGTAAAAGCATAAAACAAAAGGCTTTACATTGTTAGGGATTTTAATCTGTTTCAAGATTATATTAAATACAACACAAAATTGAAGTTAAGCCATTATCTGATTACTTAATGTAATAGCCAATCCAAATCAGGCTCCAGAATGACTATTTTTGGCCTAAACTGACCTGCATAGGTGACTGAATGATCAAAGAAAAAGTAAGGACCAAATCAGCATAGTTTCTCAAACATGACAGGGGTTGAGGGAGCACAAGAATGGAGGGAAAGAGTTCAAGGAGCAGGTACCAGTCTGTGCAGCAGTGCCTGAGGCTCTGCTAGGCTTAGTGGCTTAGCATTTGAAATACCAGGGAGCTTGATGGAAGCTAGTGCACACAGCTGTCGGCCTCAGGAGAGCTTGCCTAAGGGGATTGGTGGCCAAGGACTGGTAAGTCGAATGAGTAGACAGAAAAGCCCTGGATTCTGTTATTAGTAACAAAGCCAAAATATAACCTTGATGTGTGTGTCTGTGTGTATGTCCACAACAGAATTGGATAATGACATAATATGGCCATGTTGTAGTCAAAATGAGTGTTTTCATTTCCTTTGTGTTCTTTACAGTATGAAGGTGCTTAGTGAGATCGTATCAGCCTATGTTTGCACATGTGTTTTAAAGAGAGCTGAAAGAGGATAAAAGTGACCCATGGTTTAGAAGGCCAGGACTTTAAACCCTTTTTCTGGCATTGGTGATGGAGCTGTTGAGGTCCAGTTCAAGGTTTCATCTGGCCTTGTGAATACCTTGTCAAAACCCAAGACATAGAGTTGAGAAAAAGCTGCCATAGCCCATTCTGGTGTCTATGTTGTTGGTCCTTTGAAGCTTTGATTCAAAGGCCCTCAAGGACACAGCCCAGCAGGAAAGTGACCACAACTAGCTTTCTCTAGGAATTGCTTTTTCCATATCCTTTAAAATCAGTTTTAGATTTAAGAGGAAAAAGCAAAATAAAAGTTATGGAAGAAACTGCATAATCAAAAGGTATCAGTATGTCTTCAATCAAATGTCTTCATTCCACCCTCTTCCTAGGTTTTATTGTTTGTGTATCCTCAGCACACAGACAATTATGATTACAATATGAAATTGATCTTGGGAACTGAGAGCTGTTTGATTTCCTGGCAGATGAAAAAGGCCTGAAGCTGGGAATTGAAATTATTTTCCCACCCACAAGAGTGGATTAAAATTTTTTATTTCATCTACCTTCATAAACGTGAGTGGTCTCCTGACAGTGAGGTTTATTTTGTTGGTCTGGAGAAAAAGCATGTATTTTACCCATAGGCATATATTAAATCCTAAAATAGCAAACAATCATTTAGGACCCAGTTTGCATTATTAAAGTCACTTACTTATTTGTGGTTTGTGGCCTTTATTTTTAACAGCTTTATTAAGATATAATTTACATACCATAAATTTCACCCATTTAAAGTATAGAACTCATTGGCTTTTAGTATACTTACAGAGCTCTGTATGTGGTTCATCCTTTTAACATTGTTACGGAAAGCACTCTACTCTATCTTCTCCTGCATGACTAAGCCCTAATATGATTATCTCTTTCATTTATTTAGACATCTTATAGGGCAGTGGCTAAGAGCATGGATGCTGGAACCAGCCAGTGTGGATTAAATTCCAGCTCTGCTGTGGGCAGAAGAGTTACTGTTAATCTCTCTGGGCCTCGATATTCTCATCCATGAAATGGGAATAATCCTAGGATCTTCACTGGGAGGACTAAATGGGTTAAAACATATAAAGATCTTAGAACAGTGCCAGGTACATGGTAAGCACTATAAACATGTTTGCTATTACTAATATATTTTCTTTCTGAACTTGGGTACGTAGAATTGGATTAATCATAATCCTTAGTTCATGACACATAATCATCAATGGGCCATACATGGGCCTTTAAATTTTTCATTTCTTTATCAACAACCTAGTGAATACCCATGAAACTGCCACTTGGTCCAAGAAATAGAATGTTATTGATAATTTACATCTACCTAAATACCTTATCCTTATTCCTTATCCACTGCCTACTCTGATAGGTAACTACAATCCTGAATCTGGTGTTTAATAATTTTTTGTTTTGGTTGGTTTTAAGAACTTTAAAGAAATTTTTATTCTTTTTTTTAAGATTTATTTATTCGAGAGAGAGAATATAGGCAGGAGGGGCAGAGAGAGAGAGAGAGAATCTCAAGCAGACTCCCCACTGAGCATGGAGCCCAATGTGGGGCTCAGTCTCATAACCCTGAGATCACAACCTGAGCCAAAACCACGAGTTGGATGCTCAACCAACTGCGCCACCCAGGCACCCCAAGAACTTTAAAGAATTTTTTAAAGGAATTTTTAAAAGTGTGTGTGTGCATGCATGCATGGGCGTGCATGTTCATGCACCTTAATAGTATTTTATTTATCCTTGTTCATACAATATAATCTTTGTAATCTTCTGAGGCTTGCATTTTTCATTCCTAATGTTACTATGATTCTTTCATGTTATCATATGTAGCTATAGTTTATTTCCATTACTGTAAAATATTCCATTGTATTGAATATACCACCACTTATATATCCATTCTTCCTCTGATGGGCATATGGGCCATTTTCTGTTTTTGTGCTATTATGAAGGTTCTTATTCATGTGTCTTGAGGCACACGTGCAAAAATTTCTCTGGGATAGGATAGGGAGATTGTGGGTAGGGGATACCTAGGAAGAGAACTACGAGATTAAAATTTTTTGAATTTTTTAATATTTAATGGTCGGTTTTACAAGAGAATGCCAAATTGTTTTCCAAAGTGTTCTTTTTATCAATTTATATCCTTGCCAGCAATGTATAAGAGGTCTTATTAATCCACGTCATTGGCATGGATTATAACTTTTTTTTTTCCCAAACAAATGGGTGTCAAATAATATCCCTCTGTGGTTTTGATGTTTTATTTCTCCAATTACAGTGAGGTTGTGAATGTCTTTTTAAGTTTCCTGGCCATATGTTTCTTCATCTATGAAATATCTGATCATGTTTTCTGCTCATCTACTGAGTTAGATCTTTCTTATACATGTAGGAGTTTTTCATATATTCTTGATTCTAATATTCTGTAGAATAAATACATGGCAAACATCTTTTTCTAGTTTGCAGCTTATCTTTTCATTAATTTGTTGCTAGCACTTTTTGTATCTTGCCTAAAAAAATCCTCTTCAGTTCCTCCAACCCTGCTGCCAATATTTTTACCTCTGTTAAAATTTTGTTCTGTCTTATACATTTTAGAGTCAATTCATCAAGTTCCATGAACATCTGTCTATGATTGGTGTTTCATTAAATCTATGGATTAATTTAGGGAAAGGTAACATCGTTACGAAATTAAGTCTTGGGGCACCTGGGTGGCTCAGTCATTGGACGTCTGCCTTCAGCTAGGGTCATGGTCCCGGTGTCCTGGGATTGAGCCCGGCGTCCGTCCATCGGGCTCCCTGCTCCACAGGGAGTCTGCTTCTCCCTCCCCCATTCCCCCCCTGCTTGTGTTCCCTCTCTTGCTGTCTCTCTCAATGTCAGATAAATAAATAAAATCTTAAAAAAAAAAAATTAAGCCTTCTTTCAGTGAACAGGGATATCCTCTCATTTAATTAGATCTTATTTAATTTCCATCAGCAAAATTTTTGTAGTTTTATAAGTACCCTTACATTTTTTTTTACTATGGTTTGTTGCTATTGTTAATAGTGTCTTTTTTAAAGTTATACTTTCTATTTGTCATCAGTGACTTGAATTGCAGCCACTTGCTTAGCTGTCCCATTTATATTAATTTAGTATGTAGATCACTTTGAGTTTTCTATGCAGACAATCATGTTGTCTGCAGGTAGTAAGAGTACTTCTTCCTTTCTAATCCTTACAATTTTAAGTTTTTCTGGTCTTACTTTGCTAACTAGAATCTTTGACACAATGTTAAATAGAATGATAGTGAGCACTCCTATGTTATTCCTGATTTTAAAGGGAATGCTTCTAATGTTTCTCCATTTAGGATGATGTTTATTACATGTTTGCTTTTTGTTATCCTGGTTTGCTAAGAGTTTTTAATCATGAATAGATGTTAAATTTCTTCCAAAGTA